TATGGTATTGACCCCACAACCTGTTTTCTAGAACGTCCCTCAGGACAAACGTCACATTTAGCTTCACTGCTGCTAATACTTTTAAGAACAAAGATGACCTGTTGTGTGTTCTGTCCGACGTTTACAAATGGGACATTGACAGGACGCCAGACTGGTGCTCTAGTTCTGACACTGTGTCCACTAGTGTCCCTAAACACTCAAACCCCTTCAAGTTTTGCACTGTGATGTACACTTCATTTTTAATAGAAAAAAATTCCATTTTTCGTCCATCAGTAGACACTCAGTAACCTGTAATGACAAGACGAAGTCCAGGTCTTATTTCACTACCTTGTTGAAGCCGATTTGACCAGTTTCTCTCATTCTCCTTGACTCTTAACTGTGAAGTTGTGTTGATGTTCAGATCGTATCCTTCTATAAACAGGTCTGTTTCCCATCAGGCCTCTGTGAGTCAGTGTAAGATCATAAATGACAGTGTAAACCCTGCTGTCCCTGCAGGAAATCCACAGCAAACAGAAGACCGGCGTGGTGGAGGACTCACCACGCCGCGGCCCGGAATCACTCCCTGTGGGACACCACGACATCATCACTGACATCGCCACCTTTCAAACCACACAGGGCTTCATCGTCACCTCGTCCAGAGACGGCATTGTCAAAGTGTGGAAATGAAGATGACAAAATGGCACACCAACAGTACACACAGGCAGGGTGTGTTTTATAAACACTCCATGGTATAGTTTCAGCAGCTGCAGGAGAGACATTTGGTTTCTCATACGAGATGGAAGTTTAACCCCTGAATGTAGCTGCCTCCATTTGCTTGTTACATGTGGATCAGTTCATTTCTGCACAGCCTGGCAGGAGTCACAGAGGGAACAGTCCTGCTTCACACGACTAATTTGTGCACTTAATATACTTATTTTGAAGTACAGTATAAGGATGTAAAAGTTGGGTGACCTTTGATCTTTGTCGTGTTCAACAGTCGCGACATGAAGCGTGCCCACGCAGAGCATTTCAAAATCCAACGTGATGACGTGATGCAGTCTGAGAGGAGGAGACTGTAAGGGAAGTTGTCTTAGGATACAGATGACTGATTAAAGGAATTCCATAAGGATGCTGAGTACACAGTTTAGTCATCAGAGAGAATGAGTTTATTATCCTCCACCAGGTTTTTCTGGATGAGGTTCAAGGGTAGAACTGGGTTTAAATCCACTCCTTACTGGACATATCACCTGAACCAGTGAGAGTAATGATCACAGGATTAGTTTGACATATGGTAGCCATGAGAGCTTTACATATTAAATACAACCATGTTTGTTCCTGTGCTGTGGTTTTGTAGCAGACCTAAATTGTATATTGGCAGCGGAGCCAAAACTAAAGTCCACAGTGTTCAGTTCAGTCTACAATAGTAATGGTTGTGTACATAAATTATTTAAAATCTGAGTAATAAAGTGTAATTTGAAGCTTGTATAAAATGTTGTATGATAGATTTTGTTGCTGCAGAAATGTCACTAGCGACAGATGAACCACCTGGCCTGACGTTCAATTTGTCCTCCTGCTAAATAAAATCTGGTCATTAATCAGCAGCTAAAACCAGCTCTCCTCATTCTTTCAGTAAAATAACTTCAATCTTTGATAAATTATTTGAGACGTAACTGGGATGTCTTCCTCCTATTCAATAGTGGCCTCAGTTGTAAAATCTGAAGGCTGGCTTTCTCAGATGAGGTAAAACTTAACTGTGGCGATCATCTTCATTAACCAACCAGCTTTGTGTTGTCAGCACTTTGTGCACAAGTTACACTGCTCGTGATCTCAGATTTGGACATGGCAAACACTGGTTGATCCTCATGCTGAACGCTTCTTCTCTTGTATGGGGAACAAAACATAAATACAGTTTAACCTCTGACAAGACACCATTTGTCTGGGACCCATTAGCTTCAGTGTCATAACACAACCTCATGTAATGTAGTGTAGCAGAACAGAACGATGTAAAAACCAGGACTTGGAGCACAGTCAGACTGTCTACAGAACCCCCATGGTGAGACATTTTCAGTGTCTGTCAAAACAGCTTCTTAACGTCTGTAATCAAAACCCATGGTTTTCTAAAACAGTTATTCTGAGAATCTCTATATTATAAACACAGCAGCAGCGACTGGATATAAATCTCCTTCAAACAAACAAACATCATCCAACAAGAACAAGGTTTTCTTTAATTCTTTATTGTCGTTTTTTACAAGAAGCATCACTGGTCAGTTTGATAAAGCACAAGCCCACTAACAACGGTTGAATCCTCAACGTCTGGACCAGACACAGACATTTCAATCCTTTTAAGGGATTTCAGTCATTCTGCAGCTGCTCCAGACATGCGTTTATATTTGTGGAGTCAGTCAGACGCTGAACAGATGAGACACTGCACATTTACTCTCAGCTCCACCACGGCCTGAGCAGTGATCTGCCCCATGTCAGTTCAACAGCTCACTCATCACTACAGTAAAACTTTAGGTCTTACTTTCACAGCTCTGGCACTTGTAACATCTTATTTACCGACACTTTGCTGCATGTAGTTGAACAACAAGGCAAGGCATCTGCACAGCAACATCTGGACAGGCGTTCAACATCTGCACCATCAGATCATCGTCTCTTCATTTTTTCTAGGAGTCTGGGTTTTTGAAACCTGATGGAAAGTTCAGATTGTTCATTATTAAAAGCTGATGTATGACAGCTTTTTAAGAGGCCAGTAATAATCAGGGTTTTTTTTTATTTGACATCTTGGCTTCAAGTTGGTAGTGTGCAGCAGACAGGATACACAGGTGGGACAAAGTTATGGTTTGGCGAGAGAGAAGGGGTCTTGGGCCTTGGCTACAAGTCCTGAACATCATTTGTCCATCTGCCGAAGTGTAGACTGTACTAAAGCTCCAAGTCAAGTTTCCTTTCTGTTTGTGCTGGGATTGTCTAAGAAAATCATATCTGAAAATAATTTTCCAGTGAGGCTGTAGTGCCAGTGACTGTCTCAGCTATTCACCACAGTTCTCACAGCCTCACATCTGAGAGCAGAGTAAAATGTCCTCATAGCTGCTGAGACCTGTGAAAGTAAGAGTTGTAGTTGCCCTGATGTGTGATGTCTGGTGGCTGAGTTAAAATAGTCACACTCTTGATGGCCACTGAGGTGATAACAGTTTAATATCTTCAAAAAACTTTATATCACTGTCTTTGAAAACTTGAAATTACACAAGGATCTGAGGGGTTTCACTTGCAGAAACCTTCAGGACTGGTTGCTGATTTGAGATGATTTTAGTCTTTTATTTTGAAAACAACATGTGGATACCAGGCTCAGTTACATCAACATACTATGTCAATTCTGATGTGATTTCTTGGAACATTCATTTTTAGTCTCAGCAAATCTGCTTCATAAAAATAGCACCTTGTCTGAGAAAAAAAAATCTAGACATGTCTGACATGTGTTGGTCGATGGAGTCAACGTTGAGCAGTTCGAATTTTCTGGCGCAAAATGTTGAAGATTTATTGGCAGTTTTATAAAGAGCTGTAGGGTACTGACAAACAGAAGGTGCTCTGAGGAAAATCAAGCCTGCATGTTCAAGAACAACCCAGGGGCAGGTCTTCCTGAAGACTAAGACTCTGAGGTGCTCAGCTGTGGAACGGTTTAGACTTTCCCTGAAGGCGTTTTAGCTGGAACTGGTCCGACCGTCCCAGAGCTGACTCAGCTGGAAGTGAAGTTGCCTTGGTGTCCTTTTTTTGTTTTTTTTTTTTTTTTTTTTGAAGATGCGTGTGTTGTCCTGTCAGATATCTGGTACACTGTATTTTTCTCCAATCCGGCCGGTGATGACGTCCTCATCGGCTCTTGGTCAGACACAGGTTCTCACACTCCTCCTGCGTACGGAAGCGGTTCTCATTGCCGCCACAGCCACCGTACCAGAAGCGGAAGCATTCATTCTGCTCGGTGTCAAAGAACCACATCACGGTGTAGTCCCAGCAGCTGCCGGGGTCCTGGCTCAGGAAGCATGACTCTGGATGGAGACAGGACAGGTACATCGTTACAGCCCTGTGACTGGTTTACTGATGATTTCTGAGTGGTGACGCCCTCTGGGTTTAAGGTGTTTCGCCACTGGTCTGCTGCATTTCTAATCCTGCTGAGATAAACATTTGTCTTCAGCCACATCCTAATGGGATATACATGCAGTTTATTAGGAACCCCAGCCTCAGACTGAGTCCGCCTAATCCAGTGAATCCTCGTCCATGAAGGTGGTGATGTTCAATTTGTGTTCAGACTGTTTCACAGAGTTGTTGGTTCACCTGCGTGGTCACTGTGGAGTCTGCAGGTTGTGCTGCTGTTCATCTGCACTGTGTTTTATCTATAATATTATCACCTTCATGAAACTGGGGCTTGGACAAAGAGAAGCTGCCAAACCAACCAGTTTGTCTCTCCACCTGTGTTGTGCACCAGGCTACACTGGGCTCACTGCTGCCCCCTACAGGCAGATACACAGAGAGCAGGCTCATCCCCATCTGGTGCTTAGTTACATTAGTGTGGCTGGGGACAATGCTGGACAGAGCTGGTAAGCCCAGGGTTAGCAGGGAAACCAGTGAGTGTCTGACAAAGCCCCCAACAACTTCCTGAGCCCTACACCCGGGGGGAGGGTGGGGAATGGAGTCCAAGGTAGCCATGTGCACAGCGTGCACTGCACTCATTTATGGCGTGCAACCAATTTAGCCAAACGAAGTCAGTCCAGGACATCTGGAGCCACTTTGTATATTTATATCACCCCCATCAAATGTGATGATGTGATTGTGACAGACTTTATGTGGGCATCAGGTCTCCACATGGTGATGTTTCAGAGAGATCAGCAGAATCCAGTGGCTGCTCAACAAGACTCAAATACAGTCTTTATTTTAATATTTTTCAGAACCAAACCAAGAAGAAGCCAGCACTCTGTGGTCAAACTGTGGGAAACAAATTGCCTCATGCACCCACCAGCAAAACGAAAGCACTTACAATGAACAGGTTGAAAGCCTGGTTGATTTTTAGGTGATTTTACGGAGTGCAGAGAGCCACGTTTCCCCCTGACTTTGTTCATGAGAACACATTAGACCCTGATTTTAAAGGCTGAGCCTCCTGCTCTCTGCACATGTTCTCACTTATTAACAGACATTTTGTAATTCACGCATACCACTGTCAGATGTTCTCCTGCATCACCTTCTGAAGGAATGAACATGACATCAGTGGCTGAGTTTTTACCTTTGGAGGCAGAGGTCAGCTGTGGCGCAGGCACGGTGTTCACACCTGTCAGACGACATCAGAGGTTACAGGTTAATACATCATTATGCTGCAGCTTCACTGGACATTCATTCTGTCAATTCTAGCAAAGCATAGTGCGACTTGGTCGTAGGCTTTGATGGAAAATACGTCACATTGTTACGACTATGATAATACAGAGAAAAAAGGAAATCACAAACAGGTATGACGACTCAGTTTCCATGATGCCCTGCAGTAATTCTGATGATGTTTTTCTTATGAGGAAGCTTTGCTGTAAATGCTGCGGGAGGTTTTCACACTAACATCTGGCATTTACTGGCTGTCTGCTGTATTTTAATGGTAAATAATTTTTAAAGCTCATATAATGAAGCTTCTTAACTTGGGCAGCTTTTCCTTTGTTAATGCTGCTGTTCATTCCTCAGCAGAAACGTGTCTGTTAAAGCTAAAAAAAAATGTTTTAGAACTGAGGATGAGAGCCAAACACAGAGATTTACCTCTAAACAATGTTTTACTACTTCTCAGCAAATTACTTTATTTCCATATACTAAAACTGTCCACATATATGTAGGCCTTTACTGTAGGTGGATTTTCTTCCCCTCTGCCGTGTATCCTCAATTATTAGTAAATGAGAAATCCATCTACACCGTGGTATCTACAGACTAAAACTGTTTCACCAATCGATTCCCAAACTGTACTAACTACATGAAAACCAGATACTGTTCATCAATCTATAAAATCAGCAGTTATACTCTGACCATTTTGTGTGTAATGTCCCTGATCCTGAGCTGAACAGCGGCACAGAGCTCACTGTACAAACAGACACAATGCCAAAGACATAAAACAATGTAAAAAAGATGAGACTGTTAATATTAAACATTCAGACTGATGTAGAATTAAAGTGGCAGTCAGTTAAAAACAGGTTAGTGCACAGAGACACCGGCGGCTCCAGGACTTACTATGGCTGCCACATGTCCAGAAACATTCACTTTCCGTGTTAAAGCGATTGGCGTTACCGCCGCAGCCGCCATACCAGAAGGGAGAGCATGCAGCGATGTGTTTGTCAAAGAACCATACTTGGACATAGTGAGCACACTGGAAACCAGGATCGGCATCCAGCTGACACCAGGCTGAAATCAGAACACACACGTTTAACCACAAACACTGAGAACAGTCCTACAGGCCCCCTGCGCCCGGCCAGAGGCATGATCCTCACTTCTGATCTTTACTATTGATCAAAGAGTGTGTAAAAGCCGCTGCCCCAGAAAAAAACATGCAGACATATGACTCATTCCAGACAAGCATCATATCCCATAACACATCCAGCGGGTTCAGTCCAGTCATCACAGTGTGGGCTACAACAAGGAGACAGTGGAGATGGGAGAGATCAACCGTCCGTGCAGGTGAGATCCTGATATGATGCACATGTACAGCTCACAGGACGGTTCTGAGACTGAAACCTGCAGGTGTGAAGCCCTGGAGTTCCACAGGAATCACAAACATTACATCTCGTTGAGCCCAGTCTCCGAGGCATCACCCAGTATCTCCCACTGTGTGATGAACGGTGTGCATCAGATTGACAGGTTTCATCAGCAGCTCATACTGGAGTTGGTTTGATCGGCTCGCTTTTCATGTCAACAGACTGCAGCTGCTATTTGTGTTAATGGGATACATGTGGATCAGGACTGAACGTTTCACCCAGCTCTGACTAATCACTGATCACAGTGCACTGACAGTGTGAGTATGTGTGCTGTACCGTTCAGAGTGTCTCCTGTTTTGATGTCCACCAGGTCAGCCTGAGACTGTCCTCCTGTCTGCTCCTGAAAGCTCACCTCCACCCCCTTCAGCTCCTCCAGCTCCTCCACCCCGGCCTGCCCCTGACTGGACGCACGGCGACCAAATCACAGATCAGTCACCTTTACAGTCCTGCCACAATGTTTCTGCTCTGCTGTCAAGCCAGCGGTGCCTCAATCCTGTTACAACATTTAGTTTCTTCTTGCAGCTAAATTATAACTTCATAAGTGCTCTGTCACTTTCCCAGAGACCAAAGTGTTGTGTTTAGATTTAACACAATCAGTTGTACTCTGATAGAGGACTAAGACCACAACCAAATAATTGGAAGTGGAAGCTAGTTCATTTATTGGCCTTTAAAAACATAACTCAATTTTTTACCACAAACTCATCGTGCAGACAGTGGGACTTACTCATTGATGAAGGTTTGTCCTTCCTGTTGACTGGCCAGCTGCTCGCAGCTTTGTTTATATGATGGAGGAGGATACGTGTTGATTCCCTCTGAAACAGGAACAAGGCAAATACTGTACACTGACCTGGTGTTGGATAAAGCATCTATATCCCTTATTTAAGTAAAAGTGGCAATAACACATATACTGTGTGACACAAATACTCCATTACACGTAAAAGTCCTACGTTCAAAATCTGTATTAAGTACATTATTATCTGTATTATAGCCACTAAAATTATATTTTAATATTTAAGTTTTTGACTGGTTCCTTTAGTGTTACATTATCAGATTATTATGACTAATTTATTCATCATTTGCCAAATTTGAAAGTCAAGCTTGTTGAGGTGGTTAACTAATTTATATTTTGTGACGTAACAATAAATCCTCCCTCATACTGTGCTCTGGTTTAGCCAAGGAGCAAGATGTCAAATCAGTGTAGTAAAAAGTATGCAGGTATTTCCTCCTGAGTGTAATGGTGCTTTAATATAAACTAGAGCAAAGTACTTCATGTTTACTGTTGCTTAGAAACATAAAAAATGTGTTGCAAGTTCCTCATGAATGTGACCTGGGTTTGGCTAAAGCTGATAAATGACCAGCCTGGGTCAGAGCCTTCTCTTACTGTTGAGGGCGGAGAGGAAACACCGGAAGAAGCGTTGGGCATAGCCCTGTTCATCTGCCTTCAGTCTGCCCACGTAGATCAGGTGCTGCTGCACAGGCAGACTGGCCAGCTCCTCCACCTGCGTGCGGCTGTAGCGATCTCCAACCACCACCACAAACAGCGCCACTCCCTCACTGGAGCCCCAGCGTCTGCCCCAGCGCAGAGGACCCGCCCTGCTGCTGCATCTTCTGGATCTGGCTCCTCATCAGGTCGCGGTCCTGGTAGGTCTGCAGGCCAAACTCCACCTTGGGAGTCTGGGTGCCGCTCTGCTGGACTACAGCCACGCGGGCCTGGTTGTTGGTCTGGCGCGGACTCTGGCTCACAGCCAGCTGATCCACCACAGAGCCCAGCAGCTGCTGGACACCAGTAAACTCATCAGCCTGCATCTCTCTGGAGCTGTCCGCCACCATGACCAGGTCCACATCAACCTGCTGAGGTGGTTCTGGTTTCTGGATGACGGCACACTCCTCCGAGCGTTTGCATGGGTCTAGAGAAACAGAAACCTGCTGAGTGGTTGCTGACCAGAACAGACACTTATCTTTGTGATGGGACTGAACCTGCCCTTCTACTGTGGCTGCTCCAAAGGATTCAACTTGTTCTGGCTCCTAGTGGTGGCAGGACGTCTCCTGGGTTGGCCAGGAAACAAGCCTGCAGCTTGTTAGTGTGTGTGTTCTGAAGGAAATGTCCTCCAAACCTCATTAACACAACAAGTAGTTTTGATGCCCCAGACGTGTCCATGCTGACAAGACTTTTAGCCTCCAGCTTGAAATATCAATTTCCTTTGCATTTAGTGTTTCAGCTCTCCCATTCTGTACCGCTGACAGTAATATTGTGAATATATGCTTCATATATTTTGTTTGCAAAATCTTAATTTGTGAAGTACCTTTAGTTGTCAGACAAATGCACTATAGTAAAAACTGCTCTGCAGAGTAGAAGCACCAAGTGTCAGAAAATGAAAACCAGTTCATCACTTTGAGTAAACACTTTGTTATTAAACAGAGAATCAAAAATTGGACCCAATGAGAACAGAGGGCTGAAAGGTCGTACTGATTCTAATCCCTCTTCTGTAAACAAGAATCTCATTCAAAAGATTTGATCACTGAGCATTAAGCACTACGACCTCTGACTGCGAGTGAAGTGAAGGCTGAAGCAGAAAGGTGGAGAAATATTCCTGTGTGACTGATCTGAGCACGAGCCTTGGCGCTCACCATAACAGATGGCACAGTTCTTGACCTTCCTCAGGTCTGCGGCCATGTCCCTCCCCAGCACCGTGAAGATGGAGCCCCCCGAGTCATCGACCTGAGAAGAAGCAGCAGCTGTCAGTACTCACAGCTCTGACGACGACTGTGTGAGATGAAGTAGAGGATTAGGAAAAACAGATACAAATACATCTCATTAATCCCCAAGCTCAAACATCTTTCTCCTACTGAGATGATGCTGATGTGTTTCAAGGCTTTGGGGTCAGTTTCAGGCATAGCTGCAGTTAGGGACACTAATCTGCTCTTTGTCTGTCAGAGTCGTGATGAGGCCCGAATCACTGTGTTGGTTTGGTTTCAGTTGGTTTCAGTTTCATCACACAGAGCCGGATCATCCCGCTCTGACACCTCAGACACCTCGATGTTCCCAGCAGCCAATCAGCAAGAAGGATGCGATAAACGTCGACACAGTATTGACAAGGGAATGAAAGGGATCTGCGAGGGCCTAACATGAGAGGATGGCATGGAAGGAACAAAGCACTGAGAGAGGGAGAAGATGAGGGTGATCAGTGCCCTGGAAAGTTTTGAAGGAGGATTCAGGATGATGCCGATGCTTTTTGCTTTCTTTTGGACTAGAGTCTTAAGCTCTGATGTTTCTACTCTGAGCTGCTGTTGGGGAACAGATTAAAAAAAAACTGAGTGAAGAACTGAAGGGACAGGTTCAGATGTGATCCTCCTGAGTCTCAGTTTACCAAACCTACCTCCATGGCCTGTCTAACAGCTGGAGCGTTCCGCAGAGAAATGACTGCTGGGACGATGTCCAGGCCCCGGTACTCCATAACAGCAGTAATGATGTCTTCTGCATCCTGTGAGGGCCCATTAGAGAGGAAGACTGCTACCTTCCTCATCATGACTCCTGCTCGCACATGTTTGAAGACGTGCTGACCCACAAAGCGCATGGCGGCCCCCAGCTGGCGCCGGTTGGCCGTCCTCTCCAGGGCGATGCTCTTCACTGCCTCAATCAGCTGTTTCTTGCGATGGTAGTCCTGGAAGCGGATCAGGTACTTGGTGTAGGCGCTGTATCCCACCACCGCGACGCGTGCGCCTGTTGGACAGTTGCTCTCACTGATGGAATCTCATGAAAGCAACAGGAAGAAAGCAACTCCACCAAATGAAACATGATCATACAGAAGACCCAATGCTGCTGTTGTGTTTCTGAGCCCTGAATAACCTCTGAGGTCTGTGGTCTGAGCAGAGGAGGGAGCAATGTGTTTATGTTAGTTGTATGACGGTTCAAAGTGGTGAAGTGCACATGTTATTCTTCTTCTAGTGCTTCAGGTATTAGTGTCAGCCTCTGGCACGGACTAGAACCAACACTGATTTGCATGTGGCTCATTAAAAACATGTCTGGGGCTAATTGTAAAGAAGAGTGTAATAAATTACATCTGGATTTTATCTGAACCAACTGTAGAACACTCGATATGACAGTTGAAGATACTATATTTACAAATTTAAGTCAAAGACATCATTCAACCACATTCTTATAGCCTTCTGCATGATTTCTTCTTACACAGTTTACAGAAATGTGTTTTCTTGTTTTCAAGAGATAACCACCATTAAGCTTTTAGGCAGAACCTCCACCCACATTCATGCTTGTAGCACTGACCTTTGCACCACATGCTGTACATACTGTAAAGAACAGACACCAACAGTGACTTCTCTATTTAAAACAGTAAGAGAGAGGATGTAACTGTCGACCTCTGTCCTGAACCATTAAACTGACACCAAACAAGTCAAACCAAGAAGGTTCAAAGGTGCTACTACAACATTCACTGAATGATCCCACTTTAGCGTCTCAACAGTAAATTCTCACTCACCATATTCTCCTGAGAAGCAAAATGGAGACATACATACCAGCGCAACAAGCTGTGCAGAGGAGAAAAATAATGTTTAGAGTTCAAGCAAGGTTGTCAGAGTTACTGAATGGCACAAAAACACCAGGGGACACAAAAACACGTGTCCCCTGGTGAAAATCAGACTCAGCAAACGCTTGTTTTGCATCTTATCGACAGAAGCACTGGTTCACAAACATCACTTACCACAGTTGTCTCTGATGTAGGTGATCAGCTGACACTCCTGAGGAAACAGAGCAGGCCGCACATATCAACACTCAGTATAGGATTTAGTATGCGCCTTAAGGTTGGCAGGTGAGGTGGACTTACAGGCATGCCTTGGCCTCCGGGAGGACCTCTGGGACCCTGGGAAGAGCAGAGGAAGAGACACAGTTAACCCTTTCTCTCCATTCTGTTAAGATCGGCACTATAAGAACTCTGCACTGGGCTTTTAGCGAGTAGGGAAGATCCACAGCTTCTGGCTACGTCTCTGCAACATCCTGTACAGTGGACTCACAGCAGGACTGACTCTCAGAAATTCACCTGGTCCTCCCCTGGCCTGCCTGTGTTTCCCTGAGTGAATCAGACCAGAGGTAAAAGTTAGTGATGATGCAAAAACACTGTTTAAAAACCCTCAAATCACAGGTTTGTCCCCACTCACCCCTTGACCTCGGTTCCCTTGCCGTCCTGGATTTCCTTGGCGTCCCTGCAGTCCGTTCTCTCCCTGAAGCAGAAACAGAAACTCAGAGCTCATGCTATGATTTATCACCTTTATTTGGCCAAGTATGTTACACATACAAGGAATTTGTTTCCGGTACAGAACCGAGGGCAGCCATCTGCAGCGCCAACTCACACTGATGGCTCTAATCATAGGGGGCAAGTTGGGGGTTCAGTTCCTTGCTCAAGGACACTTCGACAGACACCGTGATTCGAACCTCCAACCTTCTGGTTGGGAGACGACCGCTTTACCCACTGAACCACAGTTGACCCCGAACCACTATTTGACCTCAGCCGCTCCCTGTCTCTCAGACCTTTGGCTCTGGTTTTTATCTGGATATCACAAACTCCTAAACTCTTGGTTAAGTACACAGTCGCTTCCATTTCTGGATTTTCCCACTGAGATGAATGATTAAAGGAATAAACAAAAACATGTGGGGTCTCAACCCAGGCTCCAAACTGGACAGATGACAGTGTACATAACGTACTGTAAATTCAGCCTGTTGTCAATATATCCTTTTACTCCAAACATGCCTCCTGCAAAAAGAAGACTTTTAAAGTGAAACACTGGAGGCAAAGTGGAGGTTTGTTGCTAGAAGCCAGTGAATGACATGGTACTCCTTCCTTCGAGGTGCATGAAGTGTAATCTCACACACGCGTCTCTGGCTGTGAGCTAAACACCGAGGTGCAGTTTAACACGATCTCTGACGCTCTGTGCTTCAACCTGCAGCTCACTGTGATGTCTGGAGTCTGAACTGGTATAAGAGCCAAAATGTGACCAAACAAAATCACTGTCCAGTTTCATTTGGTCGCCAGTGACTGACTTTGTTTAGTTTGCGCTGCTTCAATGAGAATGACTGGACTCACCGGTAGACCAGGGTTCCCTGGGAAACCTGGGGGTCCCTGTGGGGACAAAAATGATCACACTCAACAGTTTTCTAAATACACAATGTGCAGGATTCATTAGAGCAGCAACACTGTGATGTTTCATACTGTAACGTCCCCTCTACCTTTCCACCTTTGGGTCCTGCAGGTCCATAACCATCTCGACCATCCTGACCCTGAAGCAGACAGCAGCCAGTTGCAGAGTTACACACAGGCAACTGCACCACTTACACAGGTCATATTGTACAGTATACAGAGACACGTACCGGCAGTCCTCTGGGTCCCCGTGATCCTGGGGCACCTTTTCCACCTGAATCTCCTGGTTGGCCCTACAACATCAAACCAGGTCTGACTCAGGTCCAGTCTGCAGGGTGAATACTCAAACTAGACCATCAGAGCTTTGGTTTTGTTTGAAGATGTTAGCAGCTCATGTATTTCATCACTTGATTCAACTTAGGGGGCTGGCATTTATATTTATTTGCTGACACTTTGCAAATTAAAGATGAATTAGCTGTTAGCACAACCTGCCACTGGATTAGTGTGCTCCAGTTTCACAACATCTGCTCAGACCTAACATGATCTTGTGTTGACATGGTGATGTGTCTGTTGGATCATCAGCGAGGGGACAAGATGGTTTTATGTCACACACCTTCTGTCCATTATTTCCAGGGCGTCCGGTTGATCCAGGGTTTCCAGGTGCACCAGGTGTCCCCTGCAGGAAAAACCAAAGGAGTCAGAGGAGGAGCACAGCTGAAACCACCACGAGTCTCCATTATCTGAGGGTCCTTAAATGCATCACCAAAAGAACAAGCTTTGTAAACGCTCACCACGGCTTCAACATGTGTTTATTTAACCAACAGGCAAAGCAGCTTTACTGTGAGGCAGGTGTTGGGTGTCATACTGACTCAAAAAGCATGTCCAGGGAGTTCTCCACGCCCAGCATTTGCACCTAAAGACTGTCTCCTCTCTGTCCTTCACAAACATGGAGAAAGTCTGACATACTATTATCTGTTTCCAGCTTGACTACTGCAACTCTGTGTATTTGTCTCAGTCAGAAGCAACGTTCTCATCTCTGACCCATGATTCAGTGTCTAATCTCCCGTCCAAACATCACTGCAGCTCCATGGCCTCTGCTGTTTAAAATGGACTTTTCTTAGAGTTATCTTTACTGCTATATATTATCACTATTTACTGCTATATATGTGTGGCTCCATCTATTTCTTGAACATGCATAATTAAGCTCTACTATGCTGGAAGAAGTACTCCTTTACTGCAGGAAGAGTAGCAATGCCACAGTATAAAAATACTCTGTTACAAGTAAAAGTCCTGCATTCAAAAAGTATTAGCAGCCAAATATTCTTTAAGTATCTAAAGTGCCAGTATACATCCTGCAGAATGGCCTATTTCACATTAATGTCTCTGATACTAATGGATCCTACTGATTGATTCAGTTCTATTGAATCTCTGCTCATGGCAGCTTATATACTTATACTGTGAAGTACTTTACATCCTACTGGGTAGCTGGTGAATTTCCCAGGATCAATAGGATCAATAGAGTCTGATGATTCTACTGTGTTTGATTTGATTCATCTGATTCTGAAAAGGAGCTGAAATTATCAAATACATGTAGTGCAGTAAAAAGTACACGGGTTGTCTCTGACATGGAGTGAAGTCACAGTATGAAGTAGGAGGACATGGAAATACTCGGGTAAAGTACAGATACTCACAACTGTACTTAAGTATACTTTAGTTAAAAGTACACATTTGACATATGCTTCAGTAAAACCTTTTTTGTTTTGAACTATTCACTGACAGAGTTTCTTAAAATACAAAAAGTAAAAATGGTTAAAAAATACTTGTATATGAAAAATACTACACAAACAGGACAAGCACAGAAAACTGGGGAAGTACACATCAGCTCTACGCCTGGCCTCTAGAATTTAAATGGGCATTTTCAAGAAACAGACATAGTCACAGACTTTAGTGTTCTCAAGGCACCGATGCGTCAAGTAAACGAACTGAAAGCAGCTGTAATGAATGACACAGCCTCTTGGGAACACATTTTATTTCCCCGCTGAGCCTCCTGGAAAGAATCTGCTCTGACAAGATATTTCTGACTCTGATTTTAATTGTACAACCTGCACCAGCAACAAGTACAAGAAAAACTTGGCACATGGACAGGGAAACACCTGTGTTTTACAAACTTAATCTGGTCTTATTAAATAGATAACATCAGTTTAAGGTCAGCACTTAGACCTGTGTGTAGGGGACTAAGATGTGCTAACCGGTTAGCGTCGTTGCCGCTGGTGGTTAAGCGCTGTTGTCGCTGTTGTCAAATACAATTTGAGTACTTTCTCACAAAGAGTAATCTACCAGTTATTAAGGAGTGATACAACATCAAAAATGAAAAATTCACATTTAAACACTTTATTTCCAAAGAAGCTTTAGATGCTCCTCACATTATAATGAGTGGTAGAAGTACATTTACTCCAGTACTTCAGTACATTACCTTATGACTACACTTTACTTGAGTCGTTTCCTTTCATGCAACATTCCACATTTTGGAGGGAAGGCTCTGTATGTGTTTACATAACTAATCTGACAGTTTGTTACTGTGGTACTAGTTTGTTTACAATTTAATTTCCTTCACACAATGAGATGCTTTGTTTTGTACCAGTAAAATGTTAAATGCTGGAGTCAGTAACTGAACAAACAAAAATTAAATGAGAACTACTGTAATCATCTTTTAGGTCATTTTCCCTGCACAAACACGTCCACCTTCCCAGATGAGAATTTTTATTGCTTTTCTCTGCAGTGATCTCCATAATTTAGGAGTATGACTGTTGGTTGGACTAAACAAAATATAGAGGGGTCACGCTGGGCTTCGGGCAGCTCTGATGGACAAGATGCAACAGGAGAACGCAATCAAAATACAACTTGAGGGGTTACTGGGTGTCACAGATCAGCTGAGCTTCTGTGGGGCTGGTGAAGAAGACTAAATGATTTAAACACTGACCTGAGGTCCAGGAGGCCCAGGGAGTCCTCTTGGTCCAGGTTGACCTCTGACCCCTCTGGGACCCTACAGAGACGACATGGACTGGTTTAAGACAGCGGTCCTCATATGCTTTAGGTAAAATGGCTGTTGAAAGGTGGCTCTCTTGATTCGTCTGCTCCTGCTCTCAGCGTTTGGGCCGAGCCAAAACTGACATCGTCATTCAATTCTATTGAATCTCTGCTCATGGCAACAAGGGGATTTTCCAGTGTTGGATTATTCCTTTAAGGTTTGTGAGCTTTTGTCAGATGACTGACCTGTGGACCGGAAGCACCAGGGCTGCCTGTTAGTCCTGGATCTCCCAGCGCTCCAGGTGCACCCTGCAGACACACACAGGCTTAGTTTCTGTGGGCTGGTTATAGAACGCAGCACTAACAGACCTGAGTGTTGGGTCATCGCCTCTCCTACCTCCCTGCCAAGTGGCCCTCTTCTTCCATCTGGACCCTGAGCAGCAAAACAGCAGCAGCATTAAACATCAGCAGGCTTGGAAAATTACCACTACGTGGTCATTGCATTTGTGTTGACTGTTCTGTGTTAAATGACCAAATGAGTATTTGGCAGAGTTACATTCACAGGAGGAAACTGATGTGTCAGAATGTATTTTGCCTTTACTCGTCTGACAGCGTCTACAATGTGTTTGAAAAGACAAAATACTCTGATCCTCATGTCAACTCTGTATCGATGCCACTGGGGTTGTGGACTGTGTACGTATTAAAGGTGGATTACCAGTGTGTTCACCGTCCACCACAGCCCTGAACCTAATAAAAGCACAGAGTGCTCCAGGCGCTTTTTTGTTATTGCACCTCCATGAAGTTGTGGTGCTTGGCAAAGAAAACGGTCTGAATCTTGGCTCAGAACACACTGGTGCCTACATTTCCCATAATGCAACAGGATAGCATCTTTCACTTGAACCTTTTCCTTGTTCCCTCAGCAACAGTTGCAAACATAGCAGTAACACAGCCCTGTGTTTTCATCAGAAGCTCACAGTTACAAAACAGTTTCATATACATATATTGGGATATGCAGATTCTTCCTGTGTGATGTTGGCCGCTGCAGCACATGTTCAAGCAAGTGTCAGCAGAGTTGGCAGCGCTGCACACTCACCGGGTTTCCGATGACTCCACTCTCACCTGGCCGCCCGTCCTCTCCGGGTGCACCCTGTCGAGTTTAATACAGCACATTTCACAAGAGTGATAATGAATAGTTTGGCAAAATATCTCACAACAGATTAAAGTGCAACAATTCCAAACCTGGATGTTACAGCAGTGAAGCACATAACCCCATAGTAAATAATTATGATTGAGTTTTAAAGACATTTCCATCTTGTGAAAACCTCAACATGCCTGAATACAGAAACACAAGACTCGCTGGCATTAGGAGCAAAACACCGCACCCTTGATTCTGAACTGATTCACAGCTGTATTTTCATGGCTTTCAGTTTCATTTTGAAATTCAACAAAAGTACTGCAAATAGGAAGTACTGAAAACACACAGCCTGTTTCCAAACCCAGAGAGAGAAACAACAGAACTTAGAGTGGTTTTGTTAGAAACAAAAGCAGAACAGCAGGGCTCCACAGTGAAATGTGGGTTGTTCGTCGGAAACCTGTCTCTGTCCTGTCACACATCCTCCATCCAGAACATTTCCTGTTCCCACACAGTTCAACCTCAGTGAGCTGTATCTGGTTACTTAAAGGTTAAAAAACACTTCAGCTGACCCGACACTGGGACTAATGGACAGCTGCTGGGACCTTCAGCTCTGCTGCATCATAGTACTAATTCCAGCGTGCCTTACCAGTAAGCCTGGGTGGCCGGGCTCTCCTTTGAGTCCTGGGATGGTGTTGTCAGCACCTGGATCGCCCTGTCAGATGAAACACAAGGTCAGTCTTAACTTGGTCAGCCCTGACACATAGAGTCATCACTTGCTGAAGCCCGAGCAGAGTGTCCAGATGTTTTCTATTGATATGAGGTTTGTGGAGGGTTTCAGGTTAGAATGCTGCCAACAAACATGGACAGATGTTTTGCTGTCACCCTAGAGTGTTTATAAATAGATTTGGCTGTGTTTAGCTTTTAACCAGAGCTCAGACCTTATGAGGAAACACACGACTGACTCAGACCTTTCTCCTTTAATTAGACCAATCCAGACATGAGTGTTTACTGGTGTGCCAGCGTGAGGCTCTCAGGGTCTGCTGCTCTGATCATCTGACTGTGTTAAGAGGCCAGGCTGTATGTGCTGCTGAGACAAGATGACTTGCTGCTGTGTCAAGAGAGCAGCACAGAGCTAAGAACCTAAAGCAGCCAGAGGGTCCAGCTAAGAGTCAGGTCCTACAAAGTTGGGAGGGAGACAGCAGTAAGTCGACTACCTGATGGGAACAGACTCCCCTCTGACTGGTGGAGGCTGTTGGAGCTGGGAAGTTCTGCTACCACCCTGGTATCCTGGATAATTGAATCCTGAGAAAAGCCTGAGCTTTGTTTCAACACTCAGTCTCTGAAATGCTTTGGAATCTGTTTTGTGAAGGGTTTTGTCTGATGAAATGTGAGACAAAGAGGTGGAGAAACACCTTAAAGACTCAAATCTATTATGACATCACTTTAACGTGTGTTTCTGCTCCACCTGAGACGCTGAGGACTGTTCTGGGCACTCACCGGATCTCCCCTCAGTCCTTGGTGTCCTTTTGGACCTGCCTCCCCTCTGATCCCTGGGATACCCTGAGGACAACAGTTCAACCTGTCAGTCAACCAGCCGGAGGCTAGAGGTCACCGCCTCCGAGCTCCACTCCCAATGTAACGCTTCTTCAACTAGAGGGGACCTCCGCAAACAGGTCAAAACAACAATAGCCCGACTGCCTAACAAATAAGTACTAACAATAAAACAGAATAAAACTAATTAAATACATAATGTATTTGATTTATTTATCATTTAAAAAGGTGTCAAGTGTTAATTTGATCTGAATGTATCACCAATACTGAGCAGCAAACATCTGTATTTCAGCTTCTGCCATAAACATTTAAATGGGTTTAATGTAAATATGACGTAATTCTAGAAAAGAAGTTCTGCTAAATTTTTTTAATTTTATTAATTTAATCATAATGTAAATGTTATTATTCATTAGCTATAACTATAAAGTTGATGTGCTAACAACACAGGCTAAGTATCAGCAATAATACAATTAAAAATATATTTTACTTTAATCTTGCACCATCTCTTTAAATGTGCTGAATAATCCATTCCTGTCATGTTAATAGATGAATGTGATTAAACCTGAGCTGAATGAAGCGGTGTTGGATCGTCTGGTCTGACAAATGCAGAGACAGACACAGGCATTGATCAGATATTGATAAGAAGAAGTAGAAACAGGGTTTTAGTTACTGGGTTTCCTGGGCTTCCTCTCTCTCCTCGACGTCCACCTTCTCCCGTCACTCCCTGCAAACACACACACACATAGCTCAGCACCATGAGAGCCCCACCACCACCTTTCCTGAACAAACCCGCTCATTTCCTCCATAACAAACACAAAAACACAGAGCTACTGTTCCTTCAGGCAGCATCATTTGATTTTGCTAATCTAATGTTTAGTTCCTACGTCTGAGACAGACACCTCTCTGCTGTGACAGTCTGACGCTGCGGGGCCCCCCGCTCAGGCCAAACTGGGACAACTGCCCCAGCACCCTCCTCCATCACCACGTTCATCGATCTGTCACTCCTCTTACTGTTTATCTTATTTCTGCCTGGCAGCTGATCCTGCTCTACACTTCATGTCATTTTAGTCTGTTTATACATAGTCAAATTATCACCATGGCGTGGACGCTGAGTTAACTACTAGCAGCTCCGGTCTGCAGTGTGCCCATGTAGGTACAAACAACTACTGTGATACTCAAAACAACTATCACGTATTTCCATGTCCTGTTACCTCAGACATGTTATAACAGTGACAAACTGTGTACTTTTTACTGCACTACATGTATCTACTAACTTGATGACTCAAACCAAACACAGTAGAATTATCAGACTCTATTGATCCTCGGTGGAAAATTCACCAATAATCCAATAGTATCACGGACATTAATGTGAAATGGGCCATTCTGCCGAATGATTACTGTTACTTTGGCTACTTCAAGTATGTTTTAGTGTCAATACTTTTGTACCTTTACTTTAGCAACATATTAAATGCAGGACTTTCACTTGTAACCGAGTACTTTTACAAAGTGGTATTCCTACTTTTACTTGAGTAAAGGATGCAATCCTGTTGGTAAGAAACCAACCCACAACAACCTCCTGTTCATTTTCAGAACACTTTCACAAATCCGCCTCACAGCGAGAAAACGTCTGACATTACCGAGTTGCCTGAAGTACTGACTAATGATTTTCTGTATGACAGATGTGTGGCTGCTGGAGTGTGTACCTGTTCTCCATTGACTCCATCCAGCCCGTCTTCTCCATTTCCACCCTGCAATATTGAAAGAGAATCAACTTTTCTCTCTGGCTCTTCTAACTTGACTCTATCTGGACTTGAATATTTGTCCCAACATTCCTCAGCACATCACGTTACTTCCTGGCTTAGTGGACTTTATGATCCAGCAGGCCTGAGTCACTCACCCTGTTCCCCCGGAGGCCTCGGGCGCCCTGCACACATACAAAGCAGCAATCAGACACATCGGCAACATCTGGCACAGAGCAGCTGCTTCTGTTGCATCATATGCATTACTACTAATCACCCAATGAATAAGTGGAGCTCAGTAGTATAACACAGTATTGTACCCTGTGTCCTCTGAGCCCAGCGCAGCCCTGGACACCCTGAAGTCCATTCGGTCCGGGATGGCCCCGCTGGCCCTGCAGGACACAGAGAGAGTGATCAGTGACATCACCACTGAGACCCAACCATGGATGTACTATGACACAGTGGACCCCCGGGTTCAACCTCTGCGGTTGCTTTGCATCTCCTGGAGCATATTTTGCAGCTCCTTACAGCCATTTCTGAACCTCTTTGTGCTTGTTTTGTCTCTCATTTTGGCTGTTTTTTCCTGGTGAGCTTTTTGTTTTCCCATAATAAAGTTCAGCTGTTTTACATTGTCCTTTAGAAACATTTTTCCTTTTTCTGTCAGACAATAACAAAACCCTGATACATTTACAGAGACGTCACAGTCTCTACCCGCCTAAGGCTTACAGACATTTCTACTGTAATTCTGGGACAATAAATCTGACTGACTCTCGATGCTCAGACCTTTCCTCCAGCACCACCACAGAGTTCACCTCTTCACTTTTAACTAAACCATCTCAACATCTACTGGCTAGACTGTGACTCCTGCAGCTCCAGGATGTGTTCTTTATCAAAGTGTATGGAGTTTTCTTATGTAGTTTACCATGATATTGTTACGGTTTCACATCACTGTGGTTCCCAGATTTATGTTTCTATTTATTTGTTCTCTCCCCGCAACTCTGTCGCCGTCATCAGGCACCATGTCATTCACCTGCTACTCAATTCCTCCCGGTTCTGTTCCCCGCTGTTCCGTCACAATTAGCCATCATTTCACCCACCTGCTGCTCGTTGTCTCCCGGTCCCGTCACACATATATATGCCCTGTTCTTCCGCCTCCTCTTTGCTGGTTCATACGTTTACGCTACGTTACTCATAGCATGGTGTGTTCGTGTCCTGAGCTTGCTGTTGGTTCGACTCCGTGTCCCATTCGTTTCTACCGGTTCCTGTTTTCTGCAACTCTGCAGCCCCGCTTACTCTGCGCCCGGTCAGTCTGCAACCTTCGCCGTTTTATGTTTAGGTTGCCTGCTCATCTGCTATTGCTGGATTGCCTACTCGACAGTTAGTGTTTCCTTGCCCAACCGTACTGTCTCCGCTATCCTTCGGCCGGCCCTCCTGCTCGTCCTCTGGTTCCTGTGTCCCCCCCTGGTGCCGGCCCTCCAGCTCGTCCTCTGGTTCCTGTGTCCCCCCTGGTGCCGGCCCTCCAGCTCCGGCCCCTCCTCTGGTGCCTGCGCCCCCCCTGGGGCCGGCCCTCCTGCTCATCCTCTGGTTCCTGTGTCCCCCCTGGTGCCGGCCCTCCTGCTCGTCCTCTGGTTCCTGTGTCCCCCCTGGTGCCGGCCCTCCAGCTCGTCCTCTGGTTCCTGTCTCCCTCCTGGTGCCGGCTCTCCTGCTTGTTCCTCCTGGTGCTGGCTCTTCTGCTCGTTCCTCCTGGTGCCGGCTCTTCTGCTCGTTCCTCCTGGTCCCCTCTGGTCTCCTCCTGGTCTCCTCCTGGTCCCCTCTGGTCTCCTCCTGGTTCCTCCCTGGATTCCTCCTGCACTCCCTGCCTACCTGGAGCCTGTTCGTCTTCTTGCCACCCAGCATTACCTGTGTTTTTGTTCATTAAACTACTTTCTTTAGCTCCCACTCCTCCTGGTCTCTGCCTGCATCTGGGGTCCACACCACACTCACACATAACAGATGTGGCCTTCAATGTGCAGCAGCCCTTTGGTTCACTGTTACTTGGTGAGATACTAAATGATTGAGTAAATAAGGTTAAAATGAAAGCAGCAGCACTCACAGCGACTCCCTCCTCTCCTGGGAAGCCAGGGTAACCTTTCTGTCCAGGCAGACCCTGTTGGAAAAAAACACATTTCAGAGGCAGAAACTTTAGGAGGAGACGGTCAGAACTTTACTCTTTGGGGTTTCCAACTTCATCCTACACCTGAAGATCTTTGCTTAAGTATAATATTTTTATGTAACGCCCACTCTGTCCTTTTACCTAATTACTAACCTTTCTTGATGATATAACACCTTACTCTACCGCTCACCTCAAGGGCATAAAGCTAACAGAACATGTAATATGGCAGCAGGACATGGGGCCTGGCTGCAGCACACCAGCTTTGTCTTTTTTGTGTCAACTGATTTATTTTCACATTTTGAAGAATCCGCGGACATGAACATGAATGGCAACTACTAATTATTTATGCCTGCTAATATTACACATTGATTACTCAGGAGATATTTGTTTAAAATGTTTAGCCTTTCACAATCATACAACTTCAAGAGTTGTGAATTGTCACAACTTAAATTAACCAAGGAACACGAGCGTCACGCCTTCCAACTTTCAAGGTTAGTGGTGGAAAGTAACTGAGTACATTTACTCAAGTACTGTGTTTAAGTGCAGTTCTGAGGTACCACTGGAGCTACTTTATTCACAGCATTTTGTGAGAGAAATACTACACTTTGTACTGTACTGTTTGTGGCAAATGTAATTACTTTCCAGATTTAAAATGTTTCCTTCTAAATTCTCACATGGTTTCATTGCAGTAAGTGAGGTCCACATTTCATAAAACCATCAGTTTGAGAAAAGTCTAAAAACTAGAAACAAATGAGTGAATCTGAATCTTCTGATGCCACTTCAGATTTACCTGGCGGCCCTTAAGAGGGGCCCAACCCCTAGGTTGATCTAATAATGTCAGACAGACTCACAGGAGACATTTTACTGCACAAGCAGTACTTTTACTGCTGAAATTTCAAGTAGATTTCCTGCCCCTACGATTTTGAATAAAGGACTTTAACTTTTAACAGTGTTTTTACATAATTGGTACTGGCACTTTGAGTAAGTGCTCTGAGTACTACTTCTACCCCTCTGCCTTGACAAAAACTGTCATCTGTGTAACAGTATACTTTTAACATTGACTTTGGAATGCGTGGAGAAAGTGAAGCACGTCCTGTTTTACTCTGAAACACCAGCAGTGGAACCAGGTCAGTCTGAGGTCCCGGACTGTTTGCTCTCAGCCCGTACCCACACATTTCACCATGTCTTGGACACCATGTCTACAGTTTGGCTAAAGTTTAAAGGAGCATATTGCAGTCACCTTTGACCCCGAAGGGCCCTGAAAGCCACGGTTTCCTTCATGTCCCGAACATCTGCACATGACTTGGCAGCACTCCCTGTCCGACACTGAGTCCTGCACAGAGACAGAGGTGAAACGAATGAACCAAAAACAAGGTTGATTTCTCTGATTTCTTTGCAGCTTATTTCAAAAGTTTCGTGGCTGGAGAACCAGTAGAATATTACACCTGTCTGCTCACTAACCAGTGAAATATACATGTACAGGATCGTTTGTAATACTGTACTACAGCGAATGCAATTTAATCACTGATTCATGGTCCCAAAGGATAACAAATAGAAACCTACAGGGGCATCCTGACTTTTCAGGCACTTAGTAAATAACTGTACTTACTGAGTGCATGAACTGATTGATATTTATGCCACACTTTGTCAGTGTTTTACCTTTAACAACAATTAACCACTGAACAGGACCTAGATGATGAGCAGCAGAAAACAGATGGCAAAATCAGTTAAAAATAACTCATTTATTTGGTCTACATGTGAATTTTCATGTGGCCAGAGGTCTGTGGGCATTGACATAGCTCCCTTTAGAAATATATTTCTCTGTTCCACGCTGACAAATACAATGTTCTGAGCTGAAGTGACTCTTCTTCAGGTTCAGAGGAAAAGACTGACGTAAGCATTTGTGTGAGGGTTTTCTCTTTTTTGCATGTGTATGATAAAATGGCTGATATTTCATATTAGACATTTCATATTATATTTCTTTGTTCCCTTATTCAAGCTTTTAATAAAAGAATTGGTGGGCTTTATTGTTTTCCCTGTTACCAAATTTGTTTTAATCTTTTGTTTTCTTTTTCATGACAAACTATCATCTGGATAAAAACCTAAATATGTTAAAACCTGAACAAAGACTTGTTTTTCTTCTTCTAACTTTAATGTAATGAGTATATTTATTGATAAGCCACAGTCTCCGAGTGCTTCTTAAAAACAAGGCAGCGCTCCATTAAGCCCCCTGATATTTACTGGGTCCCTGTCGTGTTTTAGCTTCTGCCAAAGGCTGCTCCATGACGTGGTGAATAATTTGTGTACTTTCTCCAGTCGACACTCCCCTGAGGCGTTTTGTCTCGTACCCATTCCTGGACATGCCAGGACACAAAAGCCTTTTGTGTGATCTCATCAAGCTGAGAAAAGAATCTCCCCATCCATCACTTCATCCGAGATCTGAGCTGCTCATCACGAGGCAGACGGAGCTGGTGGACCCACAGACTTCAGAGATGTACAAAGTAACAGAATGTCACTTGCTTCAAAAACAAATTAACCTGTTTTCAGGTATGTCATGAAATTGTCACTTTAGTGCGAAGGGCTGTGCAGTTAGAGTTGGGTGTGTGGGACAGTAAATGTGTCACATGTGGGAACATGTGACACATGCAGGCAGAATTCTGGCGACTATCAACAAAAACAACTTACAATCTGTTTGAGGATGGTGCTGCCGATGCCCGGCATGCCGATGCTCAGAGGAAGCTTGTAGCCAAACCCTCGACCGAACTCCACCATCTGCAGCTGAGAGGGGTCGCGCGCCCCCTCCAGAGCCACAGTCAGCAGAGCGCTGACCCCTGCAGACAATACAACAAACAAAGTTACAAACTTATATGATTTGCCTGTAAACAGCTCGATCAGGTGTGGCCATAAAGCACTCCTAAACTAAAATGTTGGATTTAAGATCAAGGTCACTGTGTAACAGAGTTTTACCAGACTGTTGCAGCAGCTCAGACTCCCGCTTCAGTTCCATCACATCATCGTCGATTCCATCTGAGAAGATCACCAGCACCTAATGGATGTCGGTCACGTGTTAGACTTTTAAAGTACTTGATAAGAAAACTACATCTCATCACTTTATTTTGACAGGTTTGCAAATAAACACCCATATCCAGATTAAATCAACACTAAAATAACTAAGAGTTACAATGTACACACCGCTTGTCACGACCTTGTCTTTATTGCTGTGTTGGTGCAATAACCCAGTGTGAGAAGGAACTGTTGAGCAGATTCTATGCCGAGTCTGCTTCCTCTTGTAAAAACAAAATGCCTTTATTTCAGTGTTACTTTCTCTTCATTTGTAGACCAGTGAGAAGTGGAACAATGGCTGGAACATCTTACTCTAATCTCTGAAGATTTTTGCCTTTGGTTTGCTTGGTGTTATCTTCCTGAAACTGCCTGAATTGCATTAGATTGGATGTCTTCCAGCAAACATTTTACAGTATGTAGTACCAGCAAATTCTCACACCAGTTCCAGCTCACATTTAAACAAACACTCACCTTCACAAACCGTGTCTTAGACTGAGAGGTCAGCACCATACAATGGCAGAGTGGTGTATACATATGTAAAACTCACCTTCACACCAGCATTGGACTGGGTGCTGAACTTCTGTTCGAAGGACTTTAGCATGGAACTGTTGAAATATGTGGGCTCCTCCAATTTCAGGGTCATGACCTTCTTCAATACTTCCTCACTGTAGACCTCAAAGTTGAAGTCATCCAGGATGTGTCCACCGCTGCCCACCACTAGGTAGGCAATGCTGGTCTTCACCGGTGGGGGGTCGACGCAGCACAGGCCTTGTACTGAGGAAATATAATGGGCAATTTCTGGCAGGAAGGACTGGAGCTTGGGGTGTCCACTGACCAGCACCTCACCAGGAGCGCCAGTTCTTTGAGAAATGTCGAATCCCATGGCGATATCAATGGTGCAATCTGCAGCAAAGGAAAATATGTGCTTTACCTTTGGCAGCCATAGATGAAAACAGGTGGGCAGGATGGGAAGCAAGCAAGCAAGCAAAATTTATTAATATAGCACCTTTCTAAATGTACAACCTATGTTACAAGGTGCTGTCCGGTAAAACATAAAAATAAATAAAACCAGATAAAACACATCTACACAAAAAAATTACAGCAAAAATGCATAATCAAAACAAATACATCAACCAGTGAAGTTGTTAAAAGCCAGTGAATACAAATGGGTTTTAACAAGTGATCTAAAAACAGTCAGGTTCAGAGCAGATCTAATATCCCGTGGCAGACATTTCCACAGTATAGGAGCCTGAACCGAAAAAGCTCGGTCTCCCCAATGTTTCAGTCTGGACTTTGGTACTTCCAGGAACAACTGGTTCGAAGACCTAAGTGTCCTTTCTGGTGCATAAAAATGTACAAGCTCAGAGATATACAATGTTGCCAGACCATGTACAGCCCTATAGACGAACATCAACAATTTAAAATCAATTCTAAAACGAACAGGAAGCCAATGGAGTGAGGCAAGAACTGGAGTTATATGCTCATGACACCATGTATTAGTCAAAAGACGAGCCGCTGCATTTTGGACCAACTGGAGCTGGGACATTAAGGCTTGAGAAATGCCAGTATACAGTGTGTTACAATAATCAAGTCTAGAGTTAATAAAGGCATGAATTGCCTTTTCAAAGTCACTAAAAGAAAGTGTTTAACCTTAGCCAGAAGTCTCAAATGAAAAAAGCTGGCTTTGACCACAGATTGTATCTGTTTGTCCACCTTAAGAGCACTATCAAATACAACCCCAAGATTCTTCATGAGGCCTCAGGTAAGAGGCCAAAGAGCTAGGAATATCAGAATTAGTGACACCAGAGTTACCAATTAAAACACATTCTGTCTTACTTTCATTAATATGTAAGAAATAATGTGATAACCGTGCTTTAATGTCTCTTAGGCAATCCATCAAGGTCTGTAATGAGTTGCTCTTCTTGATATTCAGTGGCAGATAAATTTGAATATCATCTGCATAACAGTGAAAAGACAACCCATATTTCATAAAAATCGATCCAAGGAGAAGTAAATACAAAGAAAAGAGGACTGGCCCAAGGATGGATCCCTGAGAACACCACAGTTCAGAGGAACAACAGAAGAAGCGAACTCATCAATGTGTACAAAAAACAGACAAATAGGATTCAAACCATTTTAGAACAACACAGAGAGAAAGGCACAGTTGTATGTTGACTTACCGCCGGGTTGTCTGGGGCGTTTGGATTCGCAGATGGTGTCAACCACCTTTTGCTTTATATTTTCCAAGTTGCCAAAATTCTGCACGGTGAAGAGCCTCTCAGGGGTGCCAGTGATCTGCAGGAGCTCCAGATCGTGGACGTCTCCAATGCCGATGGCAAACACCTCAATCCCCAGAGCCCTGAGATGGTCAGCTGGGTCCTCCACGTCATCCTGAGACTCACCGTCTGTGATCAGCACCAGATTCTGGGAAATCCCAGTGGACCTGCGACTACCCCGGTATGCCTCAAAATATTTCCTGATGGAATCCAGGGCCAGTCCAATGTTAGTTCCTCCACCGAGCTGGTTCATGGCCAAGATGTGCTTGGTCACTTTGTCCTCTGTGTAGAACTGGTTCAGATAAAACTGGTCCTGAAAAGTGCTACTGAACTGGGCAAGTCCGACCCGCACCAAATCTTCACTGACTTCGAAGCTTCTCACTAATTCTGTTGTGAAGTTCTTCATGATGTCATAGTCGCTTGGTTGGATGCTGCTAGACTGATCGATCAGAAAGACCAGGTCAGCCTGCTGTTTTTCACAAGCTGCAAAGGCAAAAAGGAGACATTCGTTCACAACTCTGGTGCTGCACTGTGAATATACAGTACTTCATGTTCATTTATTCTTGGTAGCTTTCAACACTCAGGTTCACTGTTGTTGAAGGCATTCTCTGTGTTCTACTGTTGACCAATGCTGATTTCTGGGGAACTGACTCAGTGGAGTGTTAGGGGGTACACTAACTCCAACCTAACTCCAACTCTGTAATCTGACTTGTCCATTTATTTCTCAACCCTGACTAGCCCCTGTACTGAGACATAACTTGAAAAATCCTTTGTCTAAAATCACAACTTTCCAATTTCCAAATCAAGATCGAGTAGCACTATTGTTTAACTTTATCTACTGTATAAATCCTTGCAAAGCACATTTGTTTTATTCACAGTAGTCTATACGCAAGAAAAAAAGTAAGGCTGAGGTTTGCAAAATTTAAGTTAAAGTTGAATGTCACTAGCAAAAATATCTAGATAGATACTTCTGTTTTAAATGAAAAGAAATGTCCTGCTTTGTGTCTTGGGTGAACTGACTCGAAATCACTAAATTAAAGAGAGTTCAGGAGATAGGGCCCATCTTTATGACACTATGAATCCTTCCACATTCTCTGATAGGATGTAGGTAAGTGCTCCAACACACTGTGTCTTACCTGGTTTGGTGGAAGTGCAGAGGACATGAGTAATATTCTTGTACAGAGTTTCCAAGGCATTGAAGTTATCCACATAAAAAACTCTGGATGTGTCGCCACTGGCCATGATCTGCAGCTGAGTCTTGTTGGCTCCTTCCACTCCGATACTGAAGACGGTGATCCCTTTGTCTCGTAAAGCCTTGGATGGTGCAGCCAGACTGTAACTGTCGGTGGCATCGCCACCTGTGATCACCATGAGAATCTGAGGCACCTGGTCCTGTGCCCGGCCACCGTATTTCAAGTCAAAGTACTGTATAGAGTATGTCAAAGCCCTGCCAGTATAGGTGTCTCCATATGGGGACTTCAGGGCTTCTATTGCTTTAAGAACCTCTGGTTTAGAGTAATGTTTTTTCAGAGTAAAAACAGAGTTGGGGTTGGTGGAGTACAGAATGACCCCAAAGTGAGTCAGGTCCTCGCCAACTGTGGTTTGGTTCACTATCGCCGACATAAACCTCTGCATGCTTCTGAACTTGGGAAGGGTTATGCTTATGGAGCCGTCCACCAGGAATATAATGTCAGCTTTTTCTGTCTTCTTACACTCTGGTTGGAAACAAAGGGGCAAAGAGCAAGTGGGTCTGAACCAATTACAAGTGCATTTAATAATGCAATAATAATGAATCAATAACTCAAGATACTTAATAACTGGGCCAACTGTGAAAAACTTCAGAGCTGTCTGACTTACAAGTTCAGTCTTGTTAGCTACTAAACAAAATTTCAAAAATTTTCCACCAATTAAGATTCAGGATTATGTTTCCTGAAAAAAATGGTTTTAGTGGAACAGTATAATCCAGACATGGTTTGTTGTAGGTAACCTGAGAGTTTGCACCATATCTCTAATGCAATTCGTCACTGGGTTCAATACCAATATTGTCCTGGTGTCCTGTACATTGGGATAGTCTCCTCTTACCTCTGTCAGGATCACAGAGCTCCAAGGCCACCTGGCTCTCCAAGTCCTTCAGAGCATCAAAGTCCCTCTCAAGATACATCCTGTCTGGTGACCCAGTGATCTCCAGCAGCTGGGTGGTGTTGGCATCCACCATTCCAATGGCATAGACCACCACTCCCTTGTCCCTCAGAACCTGAGCAGGGCCCCTGACCTCATCTTGGGCCTCCCCGTCTGTGATCACTATCAGCCTCTGCCTCAGGTCAGGACGCCCTCCACTGGCGACATCAAAATACTTTGACACCTGTGTGATGGCTTCGCCCGTGAGCGTGCCTCCACCAATCTGCTGCATAGCATTGATGGCATTTGACATTTCCTCCTTGCTGTGGTAGTGGTTGAGGGGGAACTCTATCTGTTGGATGGTGGTGAACTGCATGACACCAACGTGCAACTCATTCTTGCCGATGATAGACTTGCTGATGACAGATTTCATAAAGGCTTTCATTTTCTTATAGTCTTCTGGATAGATACTCCCAGAGCTGTCAATCAAGAAAATGAGGTCTCCTGGGATGTCTTTGCAAGCTGTGGACACAGCAGTACAGACATGTTAGTGTGGCCTTCCTCTGAGTCTGCTTTTCTTGCTGTGGGGCAATGCTATTTTCAAAAAATGCTCAGTGTAACCATGCTAACATCCTTCAGCGGTAAGTGGAGCACAACACACACCAGCCACATTTCGAAGACAGAGGGATTAGTCTAGGTTTGGTAGCTGGGGAACAAATGTGATAAAACCGCTTCATTTCTGGAGCTCTGTTGAGCCCTACCGCTGGGCAAAAAGACAGCAGAGGGGTCTGATGCACTGACACATCAGTCTGCAGTGATGTGTCAAGACACCACCACTGTGTAGTCTTATATGTAAGACAATGGAAAAGAGGTCTCCCTGATGACCTACTGTACAGGTTCAGGTGTCCACCATAAACTGATACATCTGTGCTGGTGTCCAACCAGGGAACATTGTCGCATGTCAGTCTCTATTGTGCTTCCATCAACTCTCTGCTACCAGTTGTTCAATAAAGGGATACAATGCCTATTGGGTTAAGGGGTTTATTCTGCTGGTGGGTGCTGCCCTTAACTTCCACAAAGAAGATATGCTAGACATGCATTTTTACCTCCAGTCTAGTTCAGTTTTTCTTACCATCTGTCGAGCAGATGTCTGTGATGATGTCGTCCTTGATGGGCCTCAGGGCATCAAAGTTATTGACAAAGAAAGTCCTCTTTGGGTCACCAGCAATCTCTTGCAGCTCACCTTCATCAGCATCTTTCACCCCGATGGCATAGATGGTGACACCCTGCGCCCTCACTTTTGCTGCAGGATCCTTGACCTCATCGGAGGATTTCCCATCAGTGATGACTATCAGGTACTTCGGGACTTTGTGGCCACGAGAGGCCTTTGCATTGTCAAAGAGCGGGCCCATGAATTCCAGCGCTCTTCCTGTCTCCATCCCACCTCCTAGTTGTTTGATGTTCTCCACAGCATTCTCCAGTGCTGAGGCATCTGAATAGGTTGTCAGATCAAATTCCAAGTCTGGTGAGTCCGCGTATTTTGCAACCCCCAAACGGACATGCTGGGGCCCGATACGGAACGTGTGAAGAAACTCAATCATGAACTTCTTCATGTCGTGGAAGTCATTGGGGTAAATACTTCCTGAATCAATCAGGAAGAAGATGTCTGCTTCATCTGTTTGCTCACAGCCTGGGAAAGGAAAAGCCAAGATGAGTTATTTTCCCAGTGCATCGGCTGTATCCTGTCTTTACATTAATTTACTAAATCTATGCTATACTGTAAATACTGTCAACCTACTTTTTAAACTTTGACTGAAAACCTATTTATGCAGTGTCTATGCAAAGTGTGGATATTCATGTAAACTGAGCCAACCATTAAAACAACGAGACCTTCTTTGATGTCACTTCTTCTTGTGCTGACTGCAATTGCAGAATGAAGTATGTTATGGCAGAGGGATTTCTGCAGGATGTCATCCAGGGCTTTCAGCTTGACAAAGCTTTCCACATTGTACACATGCTTATTGGGGGGATAAGATGCTATTTGTTCCAGCTGGGTCTGGTTGGCATCTCTGACTCCTACAGCATAAACGGTGACTCCAGCTCGACGGAGATTAGCTGCTGCTTTACCCACTGCGTCTTCGGATTCACTGTCCGTTATCACCATTGCCACTTGCTGGATGCCTTTATTTTTCCTGCTTCCTCTTCCCTTGATGAAAACCTTATTCCGGGTGAAGCTTAGGGCAGCTCCAGTGTTCTGACCCCCTCCACGGTAGGGCAGGATTTTAATGAAGTTCAGCAACTCATTCTTGTCATCGAAGGTGTCGAGGAAGACCTGTGCTGTGGGCTTTTCATTGTACAATACGATGCCCACTCTGACTCTGTTTGGGCTGACTTCCAGGCCACCCACAATCGAGTGCAGGAAAGTGCGCACCAGCTGGAAATTGGTGGCTCCAATGCTGTCAGACCCATCAACAATGAACACAACGTCTGCCATTTTGGCTGCTCTGCACTCTGTAAAACAAGCGTATGGCCCATATTTCCAAGTCACCATTCAAATACCTTGCAAAATAAACAATTGGGAATACATTATACAATCTGTTATATTCTGTTTTTTGAGCAAAGCCTTGCTGACAGATGTTCATACGTATCACAACGTGTGGCCTGTCATGTGTCTGTCTTCCTATAAGAGGCTGCACAGAAACATGCATTGTTGCGTACCAATTATTTTAGGACAATATTTCAGGAATGGAGCAGCTGGTAGACCCCTTCAGCTGCTGCCCACTCAACCCAACTTTGGATTGGCCTCCTTCTTCTACAAACCAATGGCAACCAATGACTAAGCCCACCCGCAGCCTCCTCACTCCTCAGAGCAGAAATACAAGCTTTGGGATGTCCTTCATCCTGGCGGATTGGAATGACTTCCAGGTCGAGCGAGGATTGTGGGATGATAAAATAAGAGAAGTGGGATTAACCTTTTGAGAGTCTATAATTCTCTAATCTGACACTGTGACCTTCTTATCAGACAGAGACATCTTGTACAAACTGCTGAACTGTGACAGACTTTAGCTCTTTATTCTGAGGCCAGTCTAGCAGCACAGTGATGATGTGAATGATAAAAATCTAGCACTACTAAAAATCTAGCCCCCTGGTTTACTGTCCAGCAGAGTGGACAGTAAACCAGGACAGAGGGGTCCACCAGGCCTCCCATGCCTGATGTGCTGTCCTAAAAAGGTTCACCATTTTACCACCTCCTGACAGACAGGTGTGTCGTCACCTTAGATCTCAGGCACATGTTAGATCTCTATGTGTGATGCATCTGTGGAGGGTGACCAAGCTACAGTCAAAGCTAACACAACAATCTATCAGCAAGAGAGAGCTCCCATATCTGAGACTTTATACACTGTAATGTGGAAAGGGGGTGACTGTGACTGAACAGCTGTAAAGTGCATGTTCAAAGGTGCACACAAGTGACTAATTAATAATAATAGTATTGTTAAAACTGTTTCACCTCCAGTCAGAATGATCTGCTCTTCCTCTTTTTCGATGATGGCCTTCAGTGGAGGTACGATGTTGGTGACAGAGGGGTACACATACGGTGGAGTTGCTACTAGACGCATTTCCTTCAGTGATGCACCAAGGCTCACCCCTACCACAGTTATTCCTTCTGATTTGATCAGACGTGATGATTTATACACAGGATCATCTGAGTCTTTGCCACTTAGGACAACCAGGTACTGCTGGTAGCCCTGGTCTGCTCGGCTTCCTGCCTCACTGGTGAAAAAGTTGGCGCTGGCGTACTCCAAGGCATTGCCCAGGTTTCGTGGCTCATTGGGTTGCAGTTGGCGCTGATGGAAACTCTTAACAGCATTCTGGACCTCCTCTTTGGTTTTGTAAGCATTAAGAAGAAATTCCACTTTAATGTCTTGACCATACTGGGCCAAACCAAGACGGTAGGCAGATGTTTCGATGTTAAGTTGGTTGACCAGTCCCTCGAGGACTTTCCTGACCTGCCCGAAGTCTGATGCACTCACACCACTGTCTACCAGGAAGAAAATGTCTGCAAACCTTTTTGCCAAGGCTGAAAGAAAAATAAACAGTAAGGCATTGGACAGATGGCTAGAAATGAGGACGCTTGTGTTTCTCTTCATTATAATAGAGTAAATCATACTGTATCTCTACATACTCACACTCTGCTTTATGTCTAATAATTACATGGTAATGATTCATTATTCTTGAGTCAGATTACCAGAACTTTCATTTTTATCACCACTCTCTCTTTAGTCTCTTTTAGTATCCTGGCAGGAATGGACCACTGTGGTCATTAGTAAGTGAACTAGCCAGTTTTCTCACAGGTTGCAAAAGCTGGTAAATCTGAAATTAAACCATTTTCTGGATATAGTTTTGGATTATTTTAAAAGCAGACTGCAAAAAAGCAGACTTACATGGCTGCCTACAACTGAACTTCCTATATGTCCCCACAGCTTAAATGAGGAGACAAAGAGACCTCAGACTGTTCCCACATTAACTTGCATAGCTGAAACAGCATTTGACCCTTTTCTCAAACAGCTTCTGCCTCTTAATGTTGCATATTTTGGCTGATGATCAAAACGTCACTAGAATGAGGCCAATCGCTTCAGAACCTTCATGTGTTATGTCTGCAAATAAAGCATTTGAAATGTTATGTGGAAAAATATATTCTTCCAAAGAACGTTGATTTTACTCAAGTCAGTTACCTTGTTATGTGCAGTACACAGAGCCAGAGTTATCTCAGATTGGGCTTGAAGACTAAACATTTATAACTGAATGCCTGCTTTATAAACTTGAGATATAGCATGATGGGAAATGTGTCACGTCCGTGACTCGGGCCGCCCCCTGTTCCTCGGTGGCAGGCACAGGTAGTTCCAGCAGCTCCGCCCCCGCACAGGTGAGGGGGCGTTCCAGGCGACAAGGCTCTCAATCATCGGAGCAGTACATAGGGTCGACGGTGCGTCCTCGTTGCCAGATTATCATATGTTGTCCTGCTAGTAGAAAGGGTTGCTTTGGTTTGGACTGTTTTTCTGGGGACTTTACGTTTCCCGTTCTGGGTTGGCTTTGGCCATCTTTTGTTTTTGTTTTGTTGTGTGAATTGCTCCTCCTCGCAGAGCTCCCAAGCGATCCTGGGACAGCACCGCCCAGCTACCAGCGCTGCCTCATTGGGGAACCCACACACCGGACCCGGGACCTCTGGCACCAGTCTCCCCCTCCCTGGACTACTCCCTGGGCCTGCGGCGCGCTCAGCTATTCAGGTCCCCAGAGTGACTACCAGAAGCAGTCTGTACCATACACACCTGCTGCGTGTTCTTAAACTCTCACTCTTTGTTCTTACTTAGCGAGCTACGCCTCTCATACACCCCGGGAAACAGTGGTCCAGTCAATCCAGTGTGCCCAGCTGCCCCGAGATCAGCGGAAGAGGCCAGCTCTGTTTTGTTTGTTTTGTTTTTTTCTGCGACGCATTAAAGACGTTTTTCCTTGTCTATCCTGGGTTCGAGTCTGCATCATTACTGGGTCCAAAACCACTCAACACACGGTTTACCGTAACAAAATGGGTTTGGAGGATCCAGTGTTTTTGGAGTTTGACCCTTACTAGATTCTAGAGGTCAGGCTATTTCAGCTTCTTTGATTTTGACCATTCATCTTAAATATAGCCCTTGAAAATTCTTCTTTTAAAACTAACTTTCTTGCAGGATCCCTTTAAATAAAAGTAAATGAGGCTCCTTATTTTTAGTTTCTGCTGGCTAACACTACTGCATAGTTGAAAGTTTCAAAGTGTGTTCAGACATAACACATGGTGAATTGTGTGTTTTATTTATTCAGCCATCTGCCTATTAAGACTTGTTAAAAGCCTGGACTGAAAAAAGAGTAACTGTGTACTGCAGCTCTGCACCACTGTTGACGCTGTGTCTGTTGCACCTGTATCCCACAGTGATGCAGTGGACTTACAACACCATATCACTGCTGCAGGGTCAGAACTGGAGAACACCAAGTAAAAGCAAGTTAGGTGTTAAGTTACTTCTGTACATTTCTACAAACGTGTGGGTAGTTGTTTTCCTCTAATTCTTATGTTTCACAGGAAGATCAATAACTCCATAGGAAGAGTTTCTATTATTCCTACAATCCTTTGCCTTACCTTGCCTCTGAGTCTTGATGGACATGCAAACAGTTTGCAGCAGACCCTCTGTCAGCCCCAGCAGAGCCTGGTAGTTGTCAGTGGTGAACATGAAGTGTTTTGTAGGCTGGTTGGTGATGGATGCCAGCTCCTTCAGGTTGGCATCTCCCACTCCAATGCCAAACACCATGACTCCCTGCTGCCTCAGGCGCTGAGCTGGTGCCACCACATCGTCCTCCGAGCCCCCATCTGTGATGATCACAGCGATCTGAGGCACTCGTTGGTTGGCTCTGCTCCCGGCCTGCTCTGTGAAGTAATTCTTCAAGAGGAAGTCAATGGCTCTGCCCGTTTCTGTGCCTCCTCCTCGGTAGGAAAAACTGTCCACCTGAGTCAGCAGGGATTGCTGATCCTTCAGCAGAAACTCCTGGTACGGTTCATAACTGAATGGTGCCAAGCCAATCCGAACCTTGTCAGGGCCAATGTCGAGGCCTGTGATGATGGTTCGGAGCAACTGTCGGACCTCCTGAAAGTTACTGTCGCCAATGCTGAAGGAGCCATCGACCAGGAAGACGATGTCAGCCACGGTGGCGTTGATGCACTCTGGACAGGAAGGAGAAGAAAGTCAGACTTGGAGCAACAAGCTTGTTGTAAGAATATACAATGTGTTGATGATGTTCTACAAAAACAAAACCCAGGTTTAAAAAAAAAAAAAGTAGCCAGAACATCATAAAACAGTACAACTAAAAAAATCCCCCCAAACATTAAGGAAATTACAATATCTGAATGGAACTGACAGTCTTTGATGCAGTGAGAATGAAATATTGACCTGTGAAGTTTATTCTTGACCTTGGTAAAAGCAGTTGACCTTAAAGTTCGAGAGAAGCTACTAGAATGTATCTGTTAATATTTAAATAAATTACACTGTGATTGTCAATTGTCAAGGCTGAGACAAGACGGGCTTAAAAAGTTTTCTTAAGAGTGAATTTTATTTGGAAACTAAACTTCTAGAGAAACAAAACTCCTCTGGACAACAACCAGTAAGCAATGGCTGGCTCTACCGCTGCTTACAAAGAAACAAGACTTAGATCACTGTACAAGATGCCACATTACCTTGAGCCACTTGAAGGTCTTGGCCAGTTGTGCACAGCGTCTGGATGACGCGCTGAGAAATTCCCTGCAGAGCTGCAAAGTCTGACACACTGTAGACATGCTGGCTGTGCGGCTCACTGGCCATATCTTTCAGTTGGCCTTCATTTGCATTTTTGATACCGATCGCGTACAAAACAATTCCCTTATTCTTCAGATCCTGGGCATGGGACTTGATGTCATCATCCGATTGGCCATCAGTGATCACCACAGCGATCTGAGGCACATTCTGGCCAACACGGCTTCCAGCTGCTTCTACAAAAAGGTTTCTGAGCATGAAGTCCAAGCCCTGCCCTGTGTAGGTGCTCCCCCCATTCATGTAAGGCAATTTGCTGATGTACTGGAGGATGTCCTGTTTCTTCTGATATGTTCTAAGCAGGAACTCTGTGTGCGGAGTGGCGCTGTACTGGACCAGGCCGATGCGGACGTGGTCAGGCCTGACGTCGAAGCTGTTGACCAGCCTGACCAGAAACTGACGGATCTGCTCAAAGTTGTCAGGGCCGATACTCCCTGAGCCATCGACCAAGAAGACAATGTCGGCTACTGCCTCTTGAGTGCACACTGGTGGGGGAAATTGTGAGGTCAGGGAGAGGTCTTGCAGATAACAAGTCACAGAGTGCTCTTACTACTCTAGCAGTTCTTGATTCTTAGAAAGCATGCCAGCCAAAGGTGGAAAAGTGCCAGCGTGACTTACACATGTGCTGCTCGTTGCAAGCCAGACGGTAAAAGACAGCAGCTGGTTGTCAGGATGAGGACAGTTTCTGCACAGGAACAGGGCTCTACAAAGCACTGGCTGTACCATCAGGTGGGCTCTTGAAAGCAAAAGTGTGAGGAAAATATAGAAAGAAGGTTGCGTGGCTTATAGCTGGAGGGGATTTCCTTCAGAAAGTGTTGATGCAAACAGAAAGTCGACAAAGTGCTGATCAGACTGATCTTTCCTTTAACATTTGTCTCCTCAGTTCAACATCTCACCTTACACAAACCTTACATTCATGTGCCTGGTAGCATAAACATTTTCACCTTAACAGTTGTCTTTAAATGTTTTCTTTACCCTAAATACTTTGGAGTGTTAGAAACAAAGACTTTCAGAATGTTAATCATAGTCCAAACTGATGTTGGGCATAAAAAGTGGCCAAACTGGTCTAAATGTGTAGATAATTCTGCTAAAAGTAATATCACAGAGTAAGAGTAGTCTGAAGCAATAAATGCATTTTACACCCTGCAGCCCTGATCAGCAGTGGGTCTGTCTCTGAACCTGGGGCACAAGTAGGGGACAACCTATTATAGCTGGTAGACAACAGTGGAGGTCTATAGCACAGAGTGATAAGCTGAACCAAGGTCTGGACTCATACACATTACACCACATTCACTGGTGCTGCTGGTGTCTGGACAGGGTTTGTGCACAGTAACACACATACTAAATCAATGGCTGTAACCTTTAACCAAAGGATATGAACAGTCTTGCACAGGGTTATTAATGGTGCTCCTTACACACTGAACTACACATCTGCTCAGGGTGGCCCAGTATGTGTGTGTGCTTGCATGTGGCACAGATAGTTTCACAGGGCTGAAGCAGGGGCATGTTAGCATGATCCTCTTTGCACTGGTATACGGCAAGTGAGGTCATAGCTGTATAATTGTACCCACCTGTTGTCTGGGCAGCATTTTTGTCTAAACATGCTGCCATGATGAGGCCAAGGAGAAGACCCCACCTTCCTTCCATGACGGCTGGCTCTCAGCTTTCTCTCTTCCTACAACACAAAGACAAAGATTGCCATAAATGCAGAGGAACATCATCTTCCCATCTGGGGTGGGGGGTGTCTTTTTTTGTTTTGTTTTTTGTGTGCCATCCGCTCTGTCACTGAGCCAAGTCTCTGTGAAGCAAAGAGCAGCGGAGTGTGAGAAGTCAAGGGCCTATCTGAAAGCCCTGTGGTTGACAAGAAGGAGTTCATACATTTTGTTGGCTAGAGAGCAAAGATTCACTAGATGTATAGACGAGAGCGGCGGCTGGGCCCCTCTCTGTCGTTACTTAAGCAGGAACCCCGCTCTTGTCCCTCATTGGTGTTTTCTCCAGGTCCCATAGAGGGCCGCTGCCCCTCCGACCAGAATGTCCACACAGCTTTTTGCATTAGCAAAAATCAGAGAAAGGGTGTTCGGAGTGAGTTGTCCCCCACAAACTCACCCACAAACTGTCCACACTAGGTCTGCACCCCACCCTCTGTGACTGGCTCCTGGACTTTCTGACTGGCAGACCTCAGACTGTCAGGATTGGCAATAGGACTTCAGTCAGCATTATCACGAACATCGGCACCCCACAGGGATGTGTCCTCAGTCCCATCCTCTACACCCTGTTCACCCACGACTGTGTCGCCTCCCACAACATCATCCTAAAGTTCGCAGAAGACACCGCAGTGATAGGTCGCATCTTTGGTGGGGACGAAGCATCCTACAGGAGGGAAGAGGCCGGGCTAGGGTCCTGGTG